TTGCCCTTGGTAACATCAGTACACATACAGAGAGTTCAAATACGCACACATAAATCTAGACCTCTCTGTCGCAGTTTATTCCTGTATCGTCTTATGGGAAAATAACTAATTTGGAGTGTTTTTTTCGTTTACATTTTGAGTTTTTAGGGAGAAAATGAAAGAAAGTATGGTGATGATTTGATTTAGCGCCCTCCATCCAAAAAGGTCCCCTTCCCATCGAGTGCCGTTTTTATAATAAGCACCCCCTAGCGAAAGTGAGATTCAACACGTTCATGACAGTGACATACAAAAAGGTAAACATTATCATTATATCATTAATAATATTAGTATAGAATAAACTGATGGGACAAATGAATTATGATGTCTGCTTTCGAGCCCCTGTTGTTACAAGCGTTGAGTTACAGTATCCGTTGTTTTTCATTTAAGTATCGTTTAGATATCGATGTATGTGTTGAAAACTTAATAAGGACCCAGTCCCTAACAAGCGCTCTTCTCCAAGCAGCGCCCTTCCTTGAGCTACCAAGAGTAAATTAGCGCCCCTGGCCATAAATCGAATTATCATGGCACATAATCTCACTGCTACTACTGAAAAACATTAGTCAACTTACAGAGATGCTGTTACAGTTGGTCCTGTAGCCGTCACTTCCATAAGGAAGCTTAGTGCTGTATGTGACTTCAGTCTTGGGTTTGACATATTCATCAGCAGTGTAACACATGGTCCATCCTCCATTGTATGACGTCATGTTACAGTAGGCCAGGAATGGATTTGAATGGCTTCCTCCATCCGGGTCCAGCCAATACATTCCGTCTCCCTGAGATTGTCCTCGTTTCACAATATCCTGACAATCAGTGCCTAAAACTGATAACAAAGAAAAATTATCATCACATGCCTGCAAAGACATCCTCACCTCTTCCATAAGGATTCACCCTAGGTATCGCCACAAGCCCCGTTGCCGTAGAAAAACAAGCATACGAGCCCGGGAGGGGGACACCCATGTGAGAAGGACGGGGATGCTCAACGTCTCGCTTAGGGTCTTAAATCACGGATTTTGGTGGCACTTAATTAGGGTGAAACGCCACTATTCTTAGCGGTCAATGCATCTTTTAGGCATCCACAATGACAACATTATGTCCCCTATCACCAGGTGAATGATCCTTTCCATTTACGAAGATATACTGCAGTACCACAGTTATCTCCCTAAGGAGTCGTTCCTGGATCATCGCAACCTTCGCTTCGAATGTAGATAGACGCTACAGCTGTAGGGAGCATAAAAACAACAACAACAACAGCCTACTTAAAGAATTTCCTGACTATCACATCGTCAAATTTGCATCTTCCTCACCAACGAAATTGGTTTTGCAATTGTGCCTGTGAATTGCATCTAGGCTTACTGAGAACGTTATTTTCAGAGTTTTCTTTTTACATGGGGTTAATCGAAATCTTCGGCGCAAAAACGTAATTGTAAATTTTCTTCGAAGGCATTTTAGAACTGACATATTTACTAAGGGTTTAATGGAAAGCAATGTAAGATTATTACTCCAGCATGGAATTGAAGGAATGAATAACATGTCTCTTTTGAATCGAGAGATGCCATTAAAAAGAAGAAAAATCAAGGCAAATTCAGCTAAAATACCTGTTTCACAGTGTTTTCCAATAAATCCTGCAGCGCATGCGCACTGGTAATCGCCATCTTCGTACTTGGCCACACAAGTTGCATTGTTCACACAAGGGTTACTGGAACATGGAGTCTGTTTCAACAATAAGCATTCCTTTAAGATATATCTGTAGAACTGTAGATTGTGTTCTCTGATGGGTCAACTAGCCGTGTCCCATGGTAAAGCCTCGCGTGTTTGTTTACACGTGCGCCATCTGCTGTTTCTTAAATTATTAATGTATGATAATCTTGTCAGTTGCATAATGATTTTTAGGGTCATAATTTATTTAACAGCTCTTTTAGTTTCCGCCTAGTGATTGGTAGAGTCCAGGGTGCAGTGAAAAAACAGGGATAAGGGGCGCTTTCCATTCGACCAAAACTTCCGGTATGAATTTCCGAATATTTTCTAGGGGAATGGGACAGACTTTTCTGGTGGCTGCGCCAGAGTGGAAAGCGCCCTCACACTTTTGTTCGCTTCAAATTTTTTTTTTAGAAGCGTACAAAGGACTGATACGTCGACACAGTGACTTTTTATCGCCCATGACGGCAGGGACCTTATACAAACCACAACGCAGCGAAAACGTCGCAAAACGAAGGATTTAATGAGTTGTACAATGGCTCTGCACGAGTTATAAGTCTTTGTACATTTCTTAGCCAACCTATACAAAACAAACAAGTACACACGGGGGCTTTATTTTTGTTGGAATTAAACGCTTCCTTGACGAATTTAAGTTAGTATTTATCGACCGACAAGTGGCAAGTAAAATATTAATCCATTTTCGAATAGAACGTCGCCGTCATCTTTGTCTGGGATGATCGTGGTGATCGCGGCCAAAAGAACTAGCGCTGAAGAGAAAATTGCGAATTTACATAATTTCCGAAAAGAGGACAACCTCTTGAGGTATACCCAAATTTTCGATAAATTTTTCCTGGAAATTTCTGTTCCATTTGATTTTCATCCCGGAATTTCCTGAATTTTCGGTTGAATGGTTCGCTTTTCGGAAATTCAACAATTTCCGGATTTTCTGGAGCTTTTCCTGAAAATTTCGGAATTTGTGGTCGAATGGTAAGCGCCCAAGGTTTCTCCAAAATTCGCCGTGAAGGTGAAATAGGGTTGCGGAAGGCGTTATCCTATTATTTGCAGAAAAAGTTCATGAAGAGGAAACAAAAAAAAGAAGAAGAAGAAAAACAAAACGTTCAGGCTTAATGATTCTACTTAATGAGTATGCATGCTTTTTTTTTTATTTTTGTAGGCTCAGAGAAAACGAAAGTAAACTGACTTTTTTGTTCGACTCTTGTATAGAAAGAGCAATTGATTACATCATCTTTACTCCTATAAGTTCTTCTAAATCATGGAAAAATGTAGACCAGTCCTTCAAAAATAGTTTGATATCTGACTTCAATGTTGTACTTACCGGAATACTGAAGTGATGATAAAACGGACTGCTGGTAAAGTTGTCCGAGTTGTTGAACTTATCAGATGGGAGCAGTTCACACAACAGCTTTCCGTTGATGTCAGAAAATGCAGCCAGGTTATAAGAAAAGCATGAAGTGATTCCTAAACAGGCAAAGCCACACTCGGTATCACTTTGGACAAGTTCTGAACCAATATTGGTGATGTTCAGGTACGAAAACTCGTAGGCGTTGAAGTTGATAAAGCTCACTGCATCTTCAGAAGAACTCCGGCGGAAACCTTGTGAAATAAGTTTACAGATAACCGAGTTTTGTTAACATTTTCGGTCAGATAGTACTTTATTAATGCATGCTTTGCTCATTTAGAAATTTCCAAGAAATTCACGTTTTATCTCTCGTCCGAGCTCTTCAACGTTTGTTAAGGATTTGACATGGTGCTATGAATTGTTTTTATTTTGCTGCAGAAAACGGAAAGCGTGCTTTTAAACTGTTAGTCTGTGTTGTTGGCGGTTTTTCGCTTTAACAGTGGCAAGTTATAGCGATTATAAGCCGTGAATTCACTTCCTTTTGTATACATGAATTAATTTGAGGCCTACCGTTAATAAACTGTGATCCAAAAGAGGCTAGGACCATTGTAAGAACCAGACAGTTCTTTCGCTTTTGGGGGCCGAGCTCCATGCATGCATTTGTCGTCGTGGCTTCAATCTTCTAAGTAATTCTTAATGTCAAGTATTGGTGTGTTTTAAATCACGCTGAAACTGCCACCTGTAATTTCTGTCAAAGCTGGTTATAAGTCCTAAGATAAAGTTACAGGCTGCTAGCAATGATATTGGTTTACGGCTTGATGTGGGCTCAACTGGGCCAATATTGTGTTTTCAATAGAAAAACATACAAAGATGAAGCAGGTGAAACTCATAATAATAATATTTAAAATATAACTAGCCATTTTTTTGGTTGGAGAACAAGTTATGGATTATACACACAACGCCTGGGTACAATTCATAAGCATGTCTTCTTTAAGACCAGTGTTTTTTTTACTTTCAAGGAAGTAGAGATTACTATTTTTCATCCGTTTGCTTAATTTTTTCTTGCTTGCCTGCTTAATTATATTCGCCCGCGCCAGCGAAAAAAGTGTGACGGGCAGGTTGATTTAAATTAAAATAACAGAGGAAAAATGGATGTTAAGAAACAATGCGAAAGTGTTTGCACGACGATATGAGAAAGTCCGCTTCGAGCTTCCAAAGATTCTAATAACACCAGGAACACTATCAGGCCTCAAGAAACAAAGAAATGGGGGGACTTGTACCAGGTTTCTGGGGTTATCCTATATCTTAATATTTAAAGGCACTTCAGACTGAAACACGGAAAATGTTATCGCCATAATAAATTATGTATTCTCTACAAAATGCAGGATTTTATTATTTCACGCGGTTGTTTTCCAGAGTGTGGATGTGATCATATGATGTGAAATATAAAGTAGTTACCGCCCTGCTACCTTGCAATTATCAAAAAAATACTCAGACTTAGATACGAAAGGTAAAACTAAATTATTATGGGTTCCATGGGTATCTCCGATCGCGGAGAAGTCTACAAGTCGGCTGTATGAAAAATGAAAAATGCAATATTTATCAGGGTCATGGATACGTGAGATTTTTTAATGCTGACAAGGCATGAAAAAATTATTTCGACGAGAAACAACAAGTTTTGTCTTCTGAGCTTAAAAAGACCCTTCAACGAAATTTTGAAACAGCGGTACAGCCTGCAACAACTCACCGAAAGTTTAACTGAGATTCCATCACCTAATTATTGCGAAAATTGCTGAATAGACTTCTGCCTTGTGTTGTGTGTAACTTTTTAAAGATGACTGTTATCATTGCTTTATTCAAGCTACTAGCAATAAATTAAAGTCCTTTTATTAGTGAGTAAATATAAGCGGCCGTAATGGGCCACGTTCGATATATCAATATTTTAACATGGCTCCGAAGCTTTCAGGACAAACTTCTATTTTTGGTGTTGTTTTCTTTGTATCCAAGTCTCTTTTGGGAATTGAGAGACAAAACAATTGCCAATTTTGACCCGAAAGCCTCGGAGCAACGTTGGAATATTGATATCGATCGTGGCCTATTGTGCACTGGTTTATACGATGCTTTTATTTTAAATTTTAAGCTATCCAGGGTGACCCATTGGATTTGTGCACTTACCCCTCCTTATTTGGAAGAGGTTGAGTAAAGTTGTGGGGGTAAGGGGTACTCCCCGAAAAATTTTGGTGGGGGTATATATAGGGGGCTTCTTTTTAATCATTACCCTCTAATTCAGATTAAGATATGGGATTTTCGTTACCCAATTTCAGATCGGACTTCTCAACAACAAGCAGCTGTATTTGCGTGACCATGAATGTTACAGTATCGCAAAAGTGTGCAACTTAACAAAACAAGAAATAACAGTAATGCAATTAAAAAACGGAGATAAGAATCAAGTTTACATCAGTTTGAAATTTTGAGCATGACTTAAAGAACCTCGTCAATTGAATATTGATCAAATAATCGTTAGATTAATGATTGAAATACAGTTTATAATTTCTTCAAAAACTTTAGGCTCGATTTCCGCCACTCACTTGAGTCTGGTCTACATCCCTCTTAGAGAAACGCGGGCTCCTTTCTCGAACAGCGGCTGGTAATCGAGCCTAAAAAAACCCATCCCGAATTCAAACTTAGGGCGACCCAATTTAAAAGCAACATGGTCAAATGATCGATACCATCTTTCAGACCTGAGCGGCTCAAGAAACCATAGTCTTTGGTGCCGCTCATATAACTTGGACAACTTATATGAGAAAGTACTTCTCTGGGACACTGTTTAGTCAAAGTTATATCCTAACGCAAACCAACACTCATAACCCTCTTGCTGTGGGAGCGGCGGCCATTGCTGTTGAAAGCCACGCCCGTGTAACTGGAGGTAGCCGTGCGGAAGTAAGGTGAAACATAATCCGAGCACCAATTGTTGCAGTGCTTGTAACAGTTACCCGTGTAACCGGAAATGAGGAAGCCGTAGTAGCGAGAATGATCACAGATCAACAGTTGGTAGGAGTAAGCGTTGTTTGTTCCAAAACCGTCCCACAATCCATAGGTGCCGGCAGCATTCCCATAGTTATCAGCGGCCGTTATGGCCTGGTTGACTCGTCGCCTAAAGTAAACCTTGCTTCCAGTTTGGTGATCAACAAAGATAATTTCTGTGAACTGAACGAAANGTCCTTAACAAGCGCTCTTCTCCAAGCAGCGCTCTTCCTTGAGCTACCAAAAGTAAGTTAGCGCCCCTGGCCCTAAATCGAATTATCATGGTACATAATCTCACTGCTACTACTAGAAAACATTAGTCAACTTACAGAGATGTTGTTACAGTTGGTCCTGTAGCCGTCACTTCCATAAGGAAACTGAACGCTGTATGTGACTTCAGTCTTGGGTTTGACATATTCATCAGTAGTGTAACACATGGTCCATCCTCCATTGTATGACGTCATGTCACAGTAGGCCAGAAATGCATTTGAATGGCTTCCTCCGCCCGGGTCCAACAAGTACAGACCATCTCCCTGAGATTGTCCTCGTTTCACAATATGCTGACAATCAAGGCCTAAAAGGATAACAAAGAAAAAACATTATCACATTCCTACCAAGACATTCCCACCTCCGTTCCATAAGGATTCCCCTTAGGGGATTTCCTGACTATCACATCGTCAAATTTGCATCTTCCTCACCAACGAAATTAGTTCTGCAACTGTGCCCGTGAATTGCATCTAAGCTTACTGAGAACGTTATTTTCGGAGTGTCAAATTAAACTTACAGAAATGTGACTATTCAGGGTGCAGTTAGATGTATTACTTCAAACAACGAGGGCTAGCCTCATTTGCAGAAGGATACAAAACATCAGAGTTTTCTTTTCACAAGGGGTTAATCGAAGTCTTTGGCGCAAAGATATAATTGTAAATCTTCGTCCAAGGCATTTTAGAACTGACATACTTACTAAGGGTGTAATGGACAGCAAATGAATGTAAGATTACTACTCCAGCATGGAATTGAAGGAATGAATAGCATGTCTCTTTTGAATCGAAGAAGAAAAATCAAGACAAATTCAGCTAAAATACCTATTTCACAGTGTTTTCCAATAAATCCTGCAGCGCATGCGCACTGGTAACCGCCATCTTCGTACTTGGCCACACACGGTGCATTGTTCATACAAGGATTACTGGAGCATGGAGTCTGTTTCAACAATAAGCATTAAGATATATCTATTGAACTGTAGGTTGTGTTCTCTGATGGTTCAACAAGCCGTGTGGCATCGTAAAGCTGCGCGTGTTTGTTTACACGTGCGCCATCTGCTGTTTCTTAAATTATTAATGTGTGATAAACTTGCCAGTTGCATAATGACTTTTAGGGTCATAATTTATTTAACAGCTCTTTTAGTTTCCGCCTAGTGATTGGTAGAGTCCAGGGTGCAGTGAAAAAACAGGTATAAGGTTTCTCCAAAATTCGCGGTGAAGGCGAACAGGATGGTGGAAAACATTATTCTATTATTTGGGGAAAAAGATCATGAAGATGAAACAAAGAAAAGAAGAAGAAGAAAAACAAAACGTTCAGGCTTAATGATTCTACTTAATGAGTATGCATGCATTTTTTAATTTTTGTAGGCTCAAAGAAAACGAAAGTAAACTGACTTTTTTGTTTGACTCTTGTATAGAAAGAGCAATTGATTATTTCATCTTTGCACCTATAAGTTCTTCTGAATCATGTACAAATGAAAACCTGTCCTTCAAAAATAGTTTGATATCTGAATTCAATGTTGTACTTACCGGAATACTGAAGTGATGATAAAACGGACTGCTGGTAAAATTGTCCGAGTTGTTGAACTTATCAGATGGGAGCAGTTCACACAACAGCTTTCCATTGATATCAGAAAATGCAGCCAGGTTATAAGAAAAGCATGAAGTGATTCCTAAACAGGCAAAGCCACACTCGGTATCACTTTGGACAAGTTCTGAACCAATATTGGTGATGTTCAGGTACGAAAACTCGTAGGCGTTGAAGTTGATAAAGCTCACTGCATCTTCAGAAGAACTCCGGCGGAAACCTTGTGAAATAAGTTTACAGATAACCGAGTTTTGTTAACATTTTCGGTCAGATAGTACTTTATTAATGCATGCTTTGCTCATTTAGAAATTTCCAAGAAATTCACGTTTTATCTCTCGTCCGAGCTCTTCAACGTTTGTTAAGGATTTGACATGGTACTATGAATTGTTTTTATTTTGCTGCAGAAAACGGAAAGCGTGCTTTTAAACTGTTAGTCTGTGTTGTTGGCGGTTTTTCGCTTTAACAGTGGCAAGTTATAGCGATTATAAGCCGTGAATTCACTTCCTTTTGTATACATGAATTAATTTGAGGCCTACCGTTAATAAACTGTGATCCAAAAGAGGCTAGGACCATTGTAAGAACCAGACAGTTCTTTCGCTTTTGGGGGCCGAGCTCCATGCATGCATTTGTCGTCGTGGCTTCAATCTTCTAAGTAATTCTTAATGTCAAGTATTGGTGTGTTTTAAATCACGCTGAAACTGCCACCTGTAATTTCTGTCAAAGCTGGTTATAAGTCCTAAGATAAAGTTACAGGCTGCTAGCAATGATATTGGTTTACGGCTTGATGTGGGCTCAACTGGGCCAATATTGTGTTTTCAATAGAAAAACATACAAAGATGAAGCAGGTGAAACTCATAATAATAATATTTAAAATATAACTAGCCATTTTTTTGGTTGGAGAACAAGTTATGGATTATACACACAACGCCTGGGTACAATTCATAAGCATGTCTTCTTTAAGACCAGTGTTTTTTTTACTTTCAAGGAAGTAGAGATTACTATTTTTCATCCGTTTGCTTAATTTTTTCTTGCTTGCCTGCTTAATTATATTCGCCCGCGCCAGCAAAAAAAGTGTGACGGGCAGGTTGATTTAAATTAAAATAACAGAGGAAAAATGGATGTTAAGAAACAATGCGAAAGTGTTTGCACGACGATATGAGAAAGTCCGCTTCGAGCTTCCAAAGATTCTAATAACACCAGGAACACTATCAGGCCTCAAGAAACAAAGAAATGGGGGGACTTGTACCAGGTTTCTGGGGTTATCCTATATCTTAATATTTAAAGGCACTTCAGACTGAAACACGGAAAATGTTATCGCCATAATAAATTATGTATTCTCTACAAAATGCAGGATTTTATTATTTCACGCGGTTGTTTTCCAGAGTGTGGATGTGATCATATGATGTGAAATATAAAGTAGTTACCGCCCTGCTACCTTGCAATTATCAAAAAAATACTCAGACTTAGATACGAAAGGTAAAACTAAATTATTATGGGTTCCATGGGTATCTCCGATCGCGGAGAAGTCTACAAGTCGGCTGTATGAAAAATGAAAAATGCAATATTTATCAGGGTCATGGATACGTGAGATTTTTTAATGCTGACAAGGCATGAAAAAATTATTTCGACGAGAAACAACAAGTTTTGTCTTCTGAGCTTAAAAAGACCCTTCAACGAAATTTTGAAACAGCGGTACAGCCTGCAACAACTCACCGAAAGTTTAACTGAGATTCCATCACCTAATTATTGCGAAAATTGCTGAATAGACTTCTGCCTTGTGTTGTGTGTAACTTTTTAAAGATGACTGTTATCATTGCTTTATTCAAGCTACTAGCAATAAATTAAAGTCCTTTTATTAGTGAGTAAATATAAGCGGCCGTAATGGGCCACGTTCGATATATCAATATTTTAACATGGCTCCGAAGCTTTCAGGACAAACTTCTATTTTTGGTGTTGTTTTCTTTGTATCCAAGTCTCTTTTGGGAATTGAGAGACAAAACAATTGCCAATTTTGACCCGAAAGCCTCGGAGCAACGTTGGAATATTGATATCGATCGTGGCCTATTGTGCACTGGTTTATACGATGCTTTTATTTTAAATTTTAAGCTATCCAGGGTGACCCATTGGATTTGTGCACTTACCCCTCCTTATTTGGAAGAGGTTGAGTAAAGTTGTGGGGGTAAGGGGTACTCCCCGAAAAATTTTGGTGGGGGTATATATAGGGGGCTTCTTTTTAATCATTACCCTCTAATTCAGATTAAGATATGGGATTTTCGTTACCCAATTTCAGATCGGACTTCTCAACAACAAGCAGCTGTATTTGCGTGACCATGAATGTTACAGTATCGCAAAAGTGTGCAACTTAACAAAACAAGAAATAACAGTAATGCAATTAAANGCCATAATAAATTATGTATTCTCTACAAAATGCAGGATTTTATTATTTCACGCGGTTGTTTTCCAGAGTGTGGATGTGATCATATGATGTGAAATATAAAGTAGTTACCGCCCTGCTACCTTGCAATTATCAAAAAAATACTCAGACTTAGATACGAAAGGTAAAACTAAATTATTATGGGTTCCATGGGTATCTCCGATCGCGGAGAAGTCTACAAGTCGGCTGTATGAAAAATGAAAAATACAATATTTATCAGGGTCATGGATACGTGAGATTTTTTAACGCTGAAAAGGCATGAAGAAATTGTTTCGGCAAGAAACAACAAGTTTTGTCTTGTGAGCTAAAAAAGACCCTTGAACGAAATTTTGAAACAGCGGTACAGCCTGCAACAACTCACCGAAAGTTTAACTGAGATTCCTTCACCCAATTATTGCGAAAATTGCTGAATAGATTTCTGCCTTGTTTTGTGTGTAACTTTTTAAAGATGACTGTTATCGTTGTTTTATTCAAGCTACTAGCAATAAATTAAACTCCTTTTATTAGTGAGTAAATATAAGCGACCGTAATGGGCCACGTTCGATGTATCAATATTCTAACATGGCTCTGAGGCTTTCAGGACAAACTTCTATATTTGGTGTTGTTTTCTTTGTATCCAAGTCTCTTTTGGGTATTGAGAGACAAAACAATTGCCAATTTTGACCCGAAAGTCTCGGAGCAACGTTGGAATATTGATATCGATCGTGGCCTATTGTGTACTGGTTTATACGATGCTTTTATTTTTAATTTTATGCTATCCAGGGTGACCCATTGGATTTGTGCGCTTACCCCTCCTCATTTGGAAGAGGTTGAGTAAACTTGTGGGGGTAAGGGGCTCTCCCCGAAAAATTTTGGTGGGGGTATATAGGGGGCTTCTTTTTAATCATTACCCTCTAATTCAGATTAAGATATGGGATTTTCGATACCCAATTTCAGATCGGACTTCTCAACAACAAGCAGCTGTATTTGCGTGACCATGAATGTTACAGTATCGCAAAAGTGTGCAACTTAACAAAACAAGAAATAACAGTAATGCAATTAAAAAACGGAGATAAGAATCAAGT